CTGGGGGACGGGGGTGCGGGGGGGGGAAGGGCGGCTGAGGCTGCCTGAGGATCCGGGCATGGCCCTGCCTTCGCCGGCAGCGGGTGCTCAGCACCTCTCAGGGCTGGATCCTGGTTCTGCCAGGCGACGGGAGCAAGCAGGGGGTGCTCAGGATGGGGCTCACTGCAATACCAGCGCTGAGCACCCAGTACCCCAGGACAGGGCTGGGGGTGCTTTGGGCTCCCGCTGATGGCAGAGAGCCCCCGTGGCCCAACGGGACCCAGAGGGGCAGATCCCAGTGGCACAACTGCCCACGCGTCCGCATCCCCCTTGGTGGGGTTTCCTTGGGGGGGCAGGACGGTGGCCTGGCCCCAGCTCATCGCAGCCCCCCAGGGAGGTCGGAGGCTCCTCCAGTGTCCCCAGGGGCGTTGCTGGGGTGGGACAGCACCAAAACAGGGTCTGGGCTGGTGGTTTGGCTCTGCACAAGCAGGCACGGAGGAGCCTGGGGATGGCTCAGTCGGGGCGGCCGCTTGCTCCTGAGCACAGGGACCACTGGTGCAGGGGGCTGGGCACATCACCAGCACCATCGGTCCCCCCCGGACCTCCCCACCTCCCCTGGCCCAGGGCCAGGGGTCCGGGAGGACAAGCATCCCATGGGGACCGTTCTCCCTGCTGGCAGAGGGGACCTGGCCCCCACAGCCACCGGGATGCTCCGAGACAACCTCAGCCAGAGCACAAAGCCCTTTGTAGGTGGGGAAACTGAGGCCTGACGCTTGCCCATGGCCAGGCAGCGAGCACGGTGCTGCCCTGTGCTCTCCCTTTCAGGGTGCCCTCCTGCTCCCTGGGGCTTTGGCGGTGACCCCAACACCACGGGCCCCAGGGTGACAGTCCAGAGGGACCGGGGCTCTGTGGTCCCACCGTAAGAGGCATCGAAAGACCACGGGGCGTCAGCAACCCCCCAGCATCCCCCCGGAGCTGCTCCTCTCCCAGCCCGTGCAGCACAGACCACAGCATCGTCTTCCAGACCTGGAGCGGGGACGTGGCCCTGGCAGGTCCAGCAGCGTCTGCGAGGGACGGGACAGTGCCGGTGACACGGGACAGCGCCGGTGACATGGGACAGCGCTGGTGACACGGGACAGCCAGGGATCCCGCCGGCGTGACGGTGTTCAGCGTCAGCCCTGGGGCGAGGAGCTGCAGGGTGTCATCCATCCACGGCTGTGTTGGTGCAGGGGCCAGGCGTGCACACTCACACGTGTGTGCACACTCGCACAGCCCCGCGACGGGCGATAAACGGTCTTGCACATCCCACTTGCCAAATCAAACCCCGGTGCGGGGTGCGGGGTGCGTGGGGGCCGCGGGGATGGGGAGCGGGGGAGACCTTTTGACACTCATTTTGATTTAAGGGCTCGGCTTCTTGCTGGGTATAGAATTGTCTTTCCTTTCCAGCCGCGTGTAAGGCTCAAAAGCAGAAGTGCCCAGTCCGTAAGCGCCCGGGAGGTCGTGCAGGCCGCCCAGGAGCGGCCCCCCAAAGCACAGCGGGGCGGCCGGCAGCCTGGGCGAGGAGGAGGAGGAGGAGGAGGCGGCGAGAGAAGGGACCTGCAGGCTGAAGGCTCCCGGCCCCGGGGGGCTGCTCCTGCCGCCGAGCCCAGGGGAGGTGGTTCCCGGGGTGGCCAAGCTGGATCCGTTGCCTGTAGGACTGCCGATGGGGTTGGAGGTGGGAGAGAGGAGGCTGGGGGGGGCCGGGACAGAGAGGAGCCGGCCTTGCTCCAGCAGCCGGAGGATGTTGCAGGTGGCGAAGGACTCGGAGGTGGCGGTGGAGCGTTTCTCAGAGTCCCTGCTCTGGTCCTTCTTCTGCTTGGTGCGTCGGTTCTGGAACCAGACCTTGACCTGGGGAGGGGGAGCGGGGGGCCGGGGCAGGGGGACAGAAAGGCACGGACAGAAAGAGAGCGCGG